CGTCACGCAGTAGAGAGCAGAGACACAGAGAAGAGCCGCGTTTTTAAAATTGTTTTATGCATTTGTTTCACACAATATTCAGATTCTCACCCAATTTCAGCATGAAAAAAGTGAAAAAAGAGAAAGTAATAGGACCAGTGGTTCCCGTCAGTTACAACCGGTCAATTTTAGCTGCCTTCGAGAAGCAAGCAAAGGGAAAAGTGAGATTTCATTTAGAAAACATATATCGGATGGCTAATTCATCGCTTTTCAGACTTGTCCATTATGTAATATCAAGTTTTCATTAGCCAGCTATAGATCTCACATGAATGTATGCAAAGTAGCTGATGACGATGATGAAATAAAGGTTATGGCATCTTACACTCGCGAGGAAGCGATATTGTTACGAGCAGGTCCTGAAATAGTACTAGGAGAAGAAAACAGTGGCCAAGAAATCCCTGTTAATCCGAAGAAGAAGCGGCGGACAGGAGAAGAACAATTAGAATCGTAATTATTTTCTGAATTCTGTACCAAAACTCAGTTTGTGAATTACAGAACGCCTAATCCACCTGTCGTGCAAGCCTTCGATTTCGATGTGCCCGGCCCGTCAACGAGTAGTGAGAATTTGGACCCTCCATCGGAATCATCAGAAGTTAGAAGTGTGGAGAAAGAAATCAAGAAGTCGCCAGTTTGGGAGAATCGGCGACGCTCTACGAGATTAGCTCAAAATTCCCAGAAAAGCCAGTCCGAGAGTCAGGAAGCTATAGTGAAAAAAGAGACTGCAACAGTTTTGGAAGTTCTCGCATCCATTAATGTAAGTAACATTCTCAATAGGAAGACGTTTATTATGCTTGTCTGAGAAAAAAAGGTTAGAGAGTATTTTTTGCAGTCTGAATACGGTAGCTATATCGAAGCGGAGAGCCTAAATAGCACACAAACGGTGGGGACGCAGACACATTTTCTCTGCGTCTCAACCTTTTTTTTCTCAGACAAGCATAATATATGTGCTATTTACAGAACTTCGAGACAAGAATCGCCAATTCGGATCGTCCAACACCTTACTATGTAAAATGTACTGTCAAAATATTGAAGAAAATTATTTCGACAATGAAATCAGATGGCGATTTCTATGCTGATAATTTCTGGCTCCCCAGCGATATCATAACATTTTATCGATTCGTTGAATGCCTTTCCGATGGAGCGAAATGCCTTTTAGTTCGGCTGTTCGTTCGCAAACCGAATTGGTATCATTTAGAAAAATTGGAGCAGAAGTGAGCAGTTTTCTCGGAATTTTTCGAAATTGATCTCAAACTTTTGCAGATATACTGAAATTCTGAATATTCGTGGAGCTGCCGTAGAGCTAATGAAGTGGGAATTCATTTCTGACGGTAAATAAAGTTTTGTAATATTATCAATTTATTATTTTCCAGATTCCACTCTCAAAACTCTCAACGAAGCACTTCGAATTTCTGACATAACAGTTCTGAAAAATGTTGCGAAAAAGTTCAAAATCGATGGAAACAAGAATCGGCAAGATTTGGTTCAATCGCTTCGGAAATTCGCTTTATCCCAACAATCGATATTCGGTGGAACGGGAAGTGTAGAGCTGGCAGTTCTGAAAAGTTTGAAAACGGAATTGGGAACTTGTATTAAGATCAAAGACGAAATGGTGGATCTTTTCAAAGTAACAACATACTTTTAAAAAATTCAAGTCGTTCAAAATTTCAGTGCCTCTTCACATTGTACTGTCCCGTTACCACAAACTCAGCCAACGTTATTGACAACCCGGCATCTACAAACGTTTATCAAGACTTACTGTAAGCATACTTGTAACGGGCCGGGCCGGGCTTTTTCCCGAATTTCGGAGGCCCGGCCCGGCGGGCCTGTCATTCCACAAGTTTTGAAAATTTCAAAAAACGAAAAAAATGTTTTTCGAGTTTTTTTTTTGATATTTTTTTTATCAAACAGACAAACAATCCAAAAAGCGTGAGAAAAAAAGTTGTATTGAGAGCTCAAAATTCGGTTCAAAATGACAAAATTTTTGCTACCGGGCCTTCCGGGCCGGGCCCGGGCCTTGAAATTTTCCTCAGGCCCGGCCCGGGCCGGCCCGGAATTTTACAAGTGACTGTAAGCGCAATTGAGAGACTAGTTGATACAAAAATGTTTCCAGCTATATGATGCTTTCCGTGGAGAACGGCTCTGTGGAATTCCCTGCTCCAAATCCATGCCCAAATATCGCAAGCTTCTACAAAAATCGAGCGATGCTAATGGAGTAAGTAACACAAAAAAAATAATGATATCAACTTACTCATACTTGTGAAATTTCGGCCCGGCCCGGCAGAAAAAAAACAACATTTTTGAAAAATGAATTTAAACAGCCGCCAAAAAAAAACTAATTGAATTTTCAACCTTACTTTACTTGTTATGTTTTCTTTTTGTTATATTTGAAAATTGTTATGATATCATGCTGTTTTTGTTTTTGAAAATGAATTTATTGATTTTTAGAATGTATTGAAAATAACTCGAAGAAAAAAAACACTGAATACCTTTTTTCGAAACAATGATTCAACTTTTCGCTCAAGATTTTGAAGTTCGCGGTAAACTTCCGGGCCGACCGGGCCGGG